CCCCAAAACCCCCAAAACCCCAAAACCCCAAAACCCCGAAAAATCACATTGACTAAAGATAGTAAAAAATCAAAATAATCACTTGGTATTTGTTAGCATTTAATAATTAAGGTTATAATTTGGAAATTAAATTAATGTTTTTTTCATCAAATATTTAAGAGAAAGAGGTATGTTATTCCAAGATTGATTTAATTGACATTACATTACAGAATCAAGCAGATCTATCTGCTAGATTTGCTCACGAGAAGGCTTTAAAGGGTCACATGAGTGATGATCATGCTTTCAGAGAGTCAAAAGGTTCTCATATGGTACACTTATTCTTATTCTATTCATCTTTGATTTATTCGTTATAGAATCTAAACAGTCAAAAAACCTTTAAGAATTAAGAAGAATTGAATCAGTATCGCTAGAGAATATCAAAAATCTTCAATGCTCGTACTATAGTCTGCCCATTTAATTCCTATTTATTTAGCTCAATAGTTTCTGGGAATGGAAAGAATCTTATTTGATGACTCTAAGAAGCTAGATTGGAAATTTTTCTCTAATCACTTGCTTAATATGTAATAGAACAAAAAGTCTCAATAATAGTAACCAATGCTAATACCTAAAAAGGCATCTACAGGACCTAGCAACTCACCTCGTCGACTCAGACAAGGTGATAAGACAGGCTGACAAACAATGACATCCATTGGAGCAGAGCAAGCTGACTTTGTATATCAACTGTTTAATTAGAAATTTGACTTAGATCAATATAAAAAGAAACAAAACAAAGAAGTATTAAATTAGTAATTGGTTCCTAATACAGTCAGGAAACATCTGAAGACTAAAATTTTCAAAGATAAAATTGATCAGGATTTAAAGTAGCACTTCAAGACAATAGAGGTCGGTAAATTAAACAAAAAGGAAAAAGAAAATGTTGATTATGGATTTCAAACAATTTGTGAGATAATCTAGAAGCCAAAAATTGTAATAGAAATAGAAAATTAGTAAAATACATCAGAGGTCTTAAATGATAGCAGTGAAAGTCTTTATGAGCATGGAAATAACTTCAAATTCAGAAGAATGAAGCAACAGCTGTAGGATAAAGACTATGGGACAAAGAAGGAGTCTTAGTAAACTTGGCAGAAGTGGAGACACTATTCCATCTAAGATCAGAAACTTCTTAAGTGCTAATTGGACGATGAATCATTTATGGATCAACAATAAAATTCCCCTAATATTCCTCAGTCAATAGATTATAATGATCCATTAGATTTAGGAAATCGAGTTGACAATCTAGTTAACAGTAAGCCCCTATTCTTCTATGTGAGAAGAAAATCCTGTTGCTGTAGAGACTGCAAGATGTATAAGGAACTTAAAGGTTTGAACATTGTTCTTGAGTCTGATCTGATCGGTAAAAAACTATAATTCAAAAATCTTATTGCTAAGGCTACATAGATACTTAGTCGGAAAGCGACATAAGCTAAGATAATTAATAAAAATACTCTAAATGATCATGTTTAGAAGAGATTTAAATCACAGTATCTTGATGGAATCGTCACACAGAGTTTATAAAATTTCAATGAGAAGCAAAATTAAGTGGCCTAGACTCCAGTCCCTTAAGTGGCTGATAAAAGGTCAAAAGTCACCAACTTAAGAAGTATTGTTATTAAAGACTTGACCTCTAAAGAAAAGCTTATGCATTAATACAATCAACAGTACCAGACACAACCTCAAATTGATGGCAATAGTATTGACAGTGAGGAAAGCCAGATTGAAGAACTGGAAGAGATTTTTCAACAGGAAATAGAGAATTTTAGATAGAGTCAAGGTTGTGAAGAATCTGATTTTAAGAAGCTTAATAAATTCTTCAGTGCTCGTGCTGATGTGGAAAAAAATTTGAATATGATCAGAGTAGATTCAGATGATTAAAGATCTGGTGATAAATCTAAGAGAGCTGTGTAATCGAGATACAGAAAAAGTATTCTAGAAAACTCAAAGTAAAGAACTGCAAGGGCTTTCACTATCAATGATCATAGTAAGCAGAGCAGTTTGTTCTAGATGATGGACTTCAATCGGTAAGTTTCATTAAGGAAATTGGGAAATCAAAGTAAGAAGGAAACTAATGAATCTCCCAGGACAAATCAAAATGAGAATGTAAGTCTAGCGACTAAAAAGATTCATTAGCTGTATAACAAAAACATCATCAATCAAACAATGAAGAATTTAGTCCCGCTATAATTAGATAAGACAGAAAGGCCTTAAACCTTTGATAAATAGAGTCTATCAAAGAGAACATAGTATTCTAAGAAACTATAAGAGAGACTTCTTAATGATATCTTAATGAGGATACCTGGAAAATCTCAATGTGGAATCAGATCTCATAAGTTCAAGGAGAGTAACACTCAATCGATACCTTAGTCAACCAGCACTACTCATCTTTTTATAAACAAAAATGCAGCTGCTTCCGCTTATAATACTTAATTTAGTAGGATGTTTAGTCATAGAGAGATCCCATCAGTAAAATCTCATGGAAAGTTCAGACTATTTGCAAATACTAATAGGAACCTCCCTCCTTCTGTTTCAAACAGAGACTTATCAATCACAGAAAACAAGGATAAATCTGACTGCAAGACAACTTAGATATAGTCTTAATTGGAGATGGAAGGCCAGTAGAAGTTTCCTTCGATCTTCTAAAAAGATGTATTGAGCAAGAGAAGTTCTGGCAGTAAAAAGCATAAGACTAACATTTTGCTTAAAAACAAGTCGGCTAAAATTCATTAAAAAGACAATCAGTAAACGTTGAAAATTTACGACATTTGACAAAAGATCCTTGATTAAATTATTTTTATATCGTTATAAAGATTATGATAATTTTGATAATCTACCTTAAAATTAATAGAATATTTAAAATTTCAATTTAAAATGGAATAGTCTCACTGCAAGAAATGCCAAAAAGAAAAAGATAGCTTGCTGATATGCTCAAGATGCAAGGTGGTAAAATATTGCTCTTAAGATTGCTAAAAATCTGACTGGCCAGAGGTATGTTATATTCGCAGTCACATTAGAAATATTATTATAGCATAAGAAGTAATGCGGGACTTAAGCATCGCAATAATCATAGCCTAGCTCAATTAATTAAATTCAACAATAAGACGATTAATACTTTATTACTGAGGATAGTTAAAAAGCGTTGCTTTCACTGTTCAAACATTCTTATGTGGATGTTTCTAAAATAATTGGACACTTTGATTAAAATAAGTCAACTGAGTTTAAAAAGAAGAATAATTACTTTCATGTTGAGAGACTTAAGTCTGATTCGCATAAGTCTAAGCACGGCTCTAATAATGATGGATGTTGCTCTGCTGTCAATAAAAGTAAGATAAGAAATTTATTAATGTTATAGTTTACATTCCTATTGAACAGTAGAGTATATTAGAGAAAACTGTTAGGGAGTCTTTGAAGTCCAAGTTATTTTGGAGAGAGTAGCTTTTACCAATACTAACTTTAGTCAATCAGTCTTTTACAAACATTAGCAATAGAGGAAAATAATAAGGGCTTGATTTTGATGAGTAAACTTAAAAAGAAATACTCTCCAAGTGCATGTATGAATCAGTCAATAAGATCATATATGAACATGTTAAAAAAAATTTAGTGCAAGAGGAGCAATGCTATAGCAAGCAACCAGGGTTATTTGCACATCCGAGTGCTATTAAGGCTATGAAGGATGGAAAATTAAATTAACTAGATGAGTAGTTCATCAAGGATTTACAGTCAAATGGATATGGGATTAAACAGGATTTTATCTATGAAAAAGGATTGATTGAGAAAGTAGTGTCTAGATTAACACTCTTAGAGATTGAGGGGAAATTTCAAATATAGAAAAGTTTATTGCCATTGGAGTAAAGGATTAGAAATGATAAAGTGCTGCCTTTTAACATAAATGAAATAGAAAAGATTGATGAGTTCGCTTAACTGCATAAAATAACAAAGCTAGTTTACTTCTTGCCATTCGAACTCAATATGCACTTGAACTATATGTAACTACAAATTACAGATCACTTTGAAGCCTCTTATTTCGGAGGAGCTGATCATAACTAGCACAAACTTCATGCTGATTCTGGATTTGGAGAATTTAACACAGGCTTGAAGATTACGGTGTTGCTGATTATTAACGATGATAAGAGTGTAGACTCTGACTATGGGTAGTTAATAATTGAACAAGATGGATAAGGTAATGGCAGCGAAGGAGGAGAGTAGGTATAATAAAAGGCTATAAATTTGAGGAATAATACATTGGTGGTGTTAATGAGCAGAAAGGTAAGATATGAGATTAAAGATGTCAAAAGTAAGGTCTATGTGATTAAGGGATTGATAAGTGGACCTGAAGACCCTAATAAATTATGTTGATTTATTATTAATACTTTATAAAACAAGAAAAAATATTACCTTGGGGTTTTGGGGTTTTGGGGTTTTGGGGTTTTGGGG